GTGAAAATGTGAAAGTTCCTTCAAAAAACTCACATTCATAGCTATCATATTGTTTTGGAAAACAATTTTTTATTTTCAAAGGCAGCACAACACCAGACTTGACTGGAGTTTTCTTAAAATAGGCATTTTTAAGGGGACTTGGCACAAGTCCAGCATTTTTTCTGCATTTCAATTTACTCAGTGTAACAAAATCAGATTCAACCCTTATGCTTTCTGGTAGATTTGAAGTACTACAAGGTATGAGAGTGGATTTCCTATCATCCAACTGCAATCACTTTGGGGCGATACACTTATGTATTCAAGTGAAACGTGGTCTTTATGCACTAGTTCAGGCTGTGTGATCAGAATATGAAGTGAAATTTTCAACACTAGAATTTTCATTAAAAAAAAAAACTATTTGAATTCATATTGTTTGCGTTATCCAATGGATTACACAATGATATATTGAAGTGATTTTGACATTGTCACCCTTTATTACGGTAAAATTGATTTGTTGTGACTTTAATGTGTTTACATTTCATTCAGAATTATTTGGTTGTAAATTAAGAAATCACTAGACTTATAGTTACAGTTTTCAATACATTTTATTATTGTACTATTCATTTCTGAGTTCTGACACAATACATAAATCAGTATTGTTCATACTTCTAATACGTTTATGAAGAGATGAAGTATTTCTATTGATAGCATTTGCAATTGATTTTTTTAAACCATCATAATTTTCTTTATTAAAGATGATATTGCAAATATTAGTTACACAACTGTCAGAAACTGAGACATTTCCAAAATTTAAATTTGGATATTGATTCTTAATATAGTGAGCTACCTCATCCAATTTTTTGTTTAAACTCATTTTAGAGCTTATAAATAATTTTTTTCTGTGTGAATTACAAATTCGTTCACACTTTTATCTGCCTGAGTAAGACCTCTTCGACTTTTTGCTGTCCGAGTTTACCCTCTTCGACTATTTCGTGTCTGAAATAACAACAATTCGTCGGCACTTTTTGCTGTCTGAGTTTACACTCTTCGACTACTTCGTGTCGGAATTAACAACAATTCGTCGGCACTTTAAGCTGTCTGAGTTTACACTCTTCGACTATTTCGTGTCGGAATTAAAAATAATTCGTCGGCACTTTTTGCTGTCTGAGTTTACACTCTTCGACTATTTCGTGTCGGAATTAACAACAATTCGTCGGCACTTTTTGCTGTCTGAGTTTACACTCTTCGACTATTTCGTGTCTGAATTAACAACAATTCGTCGGCACTTTTTGCTGTCTGAGTTTACACTCTTCGACTATTTCGTGTCGGAATTAACAACAATTCGTCGGCACTTTAAGCTGTCTGAGTTAACCTCTTCGACTATTTCGTATCGGAATTAACAACAATTCGTCGGATTTTTAAGCTGTCTGAGTTTACCCTCTTCGACAACTAAAATTATAACTAAAACTACAACTACAACTACCACTAAAACTACTATTTTTGGGTTTTATTTTTCTACTTATTTTGGGGTTATTTTTCTTTTTTTTAACTACAGCTAAAACTAAACTACTATTTTTTTTAAACTACAGCTGCAAATATTTTTTTGGGAGGGGTGGGGTGGATTGAACCCCGTTTTTTTTATTTTTAATTACAACTATTATGAGAGTTGATGTGATGCTGCTGTAAATAAGGCAATATGCTGATGTGCGGAAATGGTTCGGAAAAAGCAGGATCAAAACACCTGAAAAGTTTAAAATAGATAGGTTTTAATTTTAAAAACTATAAAAATATATTATATTTAAAAATTATACACTCCTATTTTAATTCGCCATTGAACTTGTGAATACTGTGACAATAGTAGACATACTTATTACAATTAAAATAATTTATGCATACACATATTAAATAAAGTTACGATTATTAATTATTACAAATCGATACAATAATGTCAAATATATTAAGTGTAGATCAATTATGCCACTATGATAATTAATTCATATTTTCAAACAAACATAATCTAAGTTAATTTCATAATTTATTTATTCTAAAAAAATAACCATGTCCGTACTGACAAGTAATACTTTTTCAAACATATAAATAAAGTATATAAATGTATTTATTTATTTAACATGTAAAATTTAATTATTATGAAACCCCTCCCTCAATATTAAATTCCTTTCTACAACACTCGTCTGGTCTCACCAGCATACTACATGGTAAATTTGGATTCAAAAGTTATTGTATTTGAATTACGGCAAGTGATAATAATTTGTATAACAAGATTTTTGATAAAACGAGCTATATTTGAATTTACATATTTTTACAGATTATGTCATAAATATATGTTTTTACACATTATTATTATTATTATATTATTATTCAATTTTTTCTCACATATTTAGACAATTATACTGTTTTAATGTCTTTTCTTCAGAGTTCAGAATGATTGAAAGGTTATCATCACTATATATTATATGGACGATCTTTTGAATTCAAAAATGTAAAAATGCAGGTTATTATTAATAAATTGTAATCAAGATAATTAGATAACTAGATAAATATACATATTTTTATTACAATTTATTTTATTATTACTTATTATTAACATTTTATGACAATTTTGTCAATCTTTTGGATTTGAAAATTTAAAAATGAATGTTATTAATTGTAATCAATATAATTATATAAATATAAATTTTTTATTACATTTTATTATATTATTAATTATTAATATTTTTTATGATAATACATGTTTTGAATTCTTTAGCACATATTTTTGTTGTACTTTGGTTATATAAATACATATAAATCCGAGCCTAGTAATTATCATTATACATCATATGCTTTAATAATAACATTGTATTCAACTTAGGTAATAACACATGGAAATGTGTTGCCTTGAACAATACAAATTTGGTTCATAATTGTATAATATTAATCGTATGTATTAAATCTAAAATGTGAAAAGGATACAACAGTATTGTGTTTAATAACAGATTCAACGATGATTTCTTGACATAGATCATAATGCTTTAACAGTAAATGTAGACGGCTGGAATGGATAAATGATTTATTCTTGTCATCAAATTAATTCTGTAACATATGCATTGAAATCCGCTATTCATGCTGAAACTCAATTAAAAAATGTACAATTCTATAAGCTATAAAGGAATGTTTTTATCGTTACTAATCATATTTTACAGTATCCAATAATCATTTAAAAAGTAACCGTTATTAGTAATTATTCAATGAAATATTAATGTACAATGGACAATAATGTTTAGGTAGTATGCAAAAACTATATTGGTAATATACTTACTGATACATACATAATTGTATAATTATAAGGATAATGGTTTATAAAAAAAAGACATTTAAACACTTTACAACACTACAACAAATTACATGGGGCTAACCTAACCAACCTAAAACTATTCAGGATATGTGTTGTTTTTTGAGGAAAAACGATTGAAGATCTCCCATATTTCCAGTAGTTACGCCTCTTAAGGGAGCCAAATTTTTTTTTGCACCGGGTTGCAAAATGTCTAAATGCGTCACTGTACATAGTTGAATGGTTCTTAAGCATTACATTTTTATACTTACAAATAAATGTATTAATATTCATTATAACTTAGACAATACATTAGGTAATATTTTACAGTAAATGTGGTTCTATATACTGTGATGTAAACATACCATGGAAAAATTATAATACAATAATAAGTGCCTCACTCATCACTGTGTGGATAGGGAAACAGAATATGACAGGTATTACATACTTAAATAATGAATAAAAGACTTACATTTCTATAACTATTCAGTACAGTAGACAGTAGTTTATACATACCTGTTTCCGTAAAAAGTGATGTTTTAAATACTTCAAGACAAATGACATGTTTAAACTCTTATTAATTAATGTAAAGGTAAACGTAAACTACTAAACTGAATAACGTGGGTTAGAGCCGTTAGAGGAATTTTGAATTTATAAGTATAACCTAACTTTCCATTATTGATTTGTCAATTATGACGTTATGATGGCAATATTATGTCAGTATGTTCGGTATAATTATTGTGGTAATGACGCCAATAGAAATTATTTATATATACTTTTAAAACAATTTACAACAATTACTGTGTAACATAGGGCGACATCTACTTGACGGTTTCGGTGCATTAGTACGACACCCCTGAACGGCTGAACTTATATGAAATGCAACACAACGTACAAGGCTTCATATCACTAGTCGTCAGGTAAATAGTTCCCTAGCGGCTCTAGCTATGGTCCCCCAACTTCACACACGTTGACACGTTCTATTATGTCAAATCGAAAACTGTAAAATTCTTGAAAAGAAAATTCCAGCCGTAGACCTCTAAAACGAGTTAATAGGTCTTTGATTCTAGCGCTCATTGCGGATACGGATACCATTAATTTTGGTTTTTGTTGGCAACGAATTCAACACCGCCAGGTTTCAGTCTTGATTGTTATCAAACAATGGATTTAAGAAGACGTAATGTTGACAATAATTGAATAATGTGCACAATCATGCTCATGTCTCGACTTGACTACGCGAGTGATGAGTCATGATTCATGAATAATATTGTTCTGCTTCTAAGTTTTAAGTTAATGGTGTTTTTATGGTCGTGCCATAGACTATACGTCATGAGCTGCTGCATAATATAGATAATAATAATAATTTATTATCTATATAACTTCATATTCTGTGGTCTTGAGTTAATGATTCAACATATCAACAGTCAACTACAGGCAACAGGTAAAAACAACTGACCAGAAGTAACAAGTAACTATTATTTTTATAAGATAATATAAGGTCTATGTTTGTGATATTTACTTGTTTACTAAATACTAATTCCTACTTATTTACTATTACACTAGGCAATTAGTGACTAACATAACGGTATTTACATCAAGTGTTCTTATAAATTACCTACGAACAAACAATACTTTAGTACATTACTTAATTTTGAGTATAATATACTGATATTGAATTTGCTCAACTATAATGGAACAACATCATCGAAAATTGATTAATAAGCGTATGTCAGAATTAGTATCTGTTACATTTGATCTGAAAGCTATTGTGGACATTCTATTTGAAAGAGTTGTAATCAATAAATGGATGAAAGATTATATTTTGGTAAGACATTTTCATTTAATTGTATTTCTCTCTCACACATTATTTATGGAATACAAATATTTTAATTTATACTTGTATTGTTGTAGGGTAATGAGGGAGAATCATCCAAAACAACAAAGTTGTACGAAGTAATCCAAGGACGGGGACCTGATGCATTTACAAATATATGTGAAGTATTAAAAGAAACAAAAAACCTAAAAGCTTACGATATTTTAACTTCCAAAACAAGGTACCTCAATCTTTCTTATTAAAAATTAATTTTTTTATTAATTAAAAAGCTAATAATACATTTCTATTTTATATATTATTTGAAGTGTATTGGTGTTAGAGGTTTACATTGATATTGTTTTTCTTTTACTATTCTTATTGTATGATAGCAGAGTGAATCGCAAACATTTCATCACTGTCATAAAAACCAGTCCCCGTCAATTACTAAAGTAGGACGTTTGGCCCTCGGTATTTAAAATTTTTTGATGTTATTAAATAAAATATATTGTGTAAGCAATTATGTTTTTTTTTCTTTGGGTCTCCAAAAGTTAAATTTAAAATGTTAGGGTCACGCTCATAAAAGGTTGGGAACCGCTGCTCTGAGTAATAGATCACTTGCTAGTTTCTATCTACTATAGCCCACCCCAAAAATTATTTCTATATACGCCACTGCATTTAGGTACAATACAAATACATTTACACAATTATTTATGTTTTGATAATTCTGTTACTATTTATTTTTTATATTTAAAATGCCCATACCATATTGAAATTACTTTGTCTTATTCAAAAATAAAAAATTTCAGTATAATCATTAAATTTAAATTCATTGCCATAATTTATAAATAATATAATAAGTAAACTGAGACTAACATCTTATAACTCCTGGAAGCCAAATATCCTATCCAGTGTATAATATTATAATTATATACCAGGTGATTTATATAATGTAAAACACTCGTAGATCAAAAATTATTAACATTTTTATTAAGGGGCCTGCACGCGACCTGTTTTTTTGCTCAAAAACATGCCTTACAGGAAAAACTCTCACGCCTCGTAGATTGGTCCGATTTCCGTAATTTTTTTTTTGTTAGATAGAGGAAGACTTCTTACAGGGCGCATTGGACTTGGATTTTCAACATTATTTTTCTAAATCTTATGTTACAAGTTTGAATTTAATCAATTTTTACAACTTTTTAGTTTTTGTATTATTTTTTGTTTTTAGCGACGTAATCAAAAATCGAAGTCCAATGCGCCCTGTAAAAAATATTCCTCTATCTAACAAAAAAAAAATTACGGAAATCGGACCAATCTACGAGGTGTGAGAGTTTTTCCTGTAAACTGTGTTTTGACCGATATAATACACCCTATCAACCCCCCCTAAATAGGTATTGGGTAGTAGATTAGTGGAAAAGTCTTATAATTGAGGTGGCAACTAAAATATAAAATTTAATTTTCAAATTTTATAGAATTGCGGAAAATTTGAAAAATCGCAAGCAGGCCCCTTAAATTATAATATAATATATATTAGGTACCTATAATAAATGTATTTACCATTACCATAATTACAACAATTGAAATATTTTTTATTTTCAATATCTATTATTATTATTTTTAAGAATATTAATTATTTAAAAAGTTAGCAAATTGCATTTTTGTTAGAAGTTTTTTAAAAATGTATTTAGTACTTACAGAATAAAGAGCAAAACTACTTTACCAGGGGATTTTTTTTTTGTATTCTGATAAGTGAAAACAGTGGTGAAATCAGAATTTTATGAATAAGTTTTAATTTTATAACTATTTGGAGTTTGTTGTTTTTAATTTTTATCTATCCTAACATATATTAACCCGGCAGATTCATTTGCCGGATTCAAGGCAGTTTAAATCTAAAACTTATCCCTCTATTTGTTTTATAAAACCACCTTAGTAGGTCCATAAAACCGAAAAAAAAAAACAAACTTCAAGTGGCTATGAAGTTAAAATTTAGAATTTCCTCAAAATGTTGATATTGTCGTTGTTTTCAGCATATAAAAATACATTTGATTGCAACATACCATAGTATTTGTGTTTATTAATTAGTTTTTTTGATATACTTTTAGAATATGAACTATCATTTACATGTATTCATATTTTTCAGTGAGGAAGAGGAAGATCAATTAAGTTCATTGGACAAAGAATTTAATAAAATAATATTAGATCATGATGACTCGTATGTCAGAGTTCATCCTGAACGCAAAGTCATTTACCAATATGAAACAAAATTGGAAACCATTGTATGTTTATTTTAATATTATGTTAAATGTTAAAATATTGTATTAAACCGTACATTTTTACAGGTTGAGGCTTACCCAATGGAATCAAATCCCAAGGGACATGCATTGATTTTAAATATTAATAATATAAAATATAGAGACGAAAGAAAAGGATCAGATGTTGACATGGCAACTTTAATGAAATTATTTCAAGGTCTTGGATATATTGTTCACCCAAAAGTAGATTTAACTGAAAAAGTAAATAAGCAAATATTTATTTATTAAATTAATATAAAGTATAAAAAGATATTCCTTACAATATAATGACCTTTTAAATTATTTTTTGTTTGTAGCAATTTAAGAATGTTATTAATGAGTTCATTAATATATGTGAAGAAGAAAAAGCTAACTCTATTGTTGTTTTTATAATGAGTCACGGTGAAGCTGGAAAAGATTCAGCCAGATCGTCAGATATATTAGCCGCGGATGGCAAACCAATAAATACCGACTGGATAATTGAACAATTTGTGTTCAATTATATTCAACATGTACCAAAGTTATTTTTTATTCAAGCATGTCGGTAGGTATACATAATTTTTTTTTATTTTTGATACATACAATAAATACTTTTTTTATTTAAGAGGAGATAATAGTGATTTTGGTTGGAAATTTCACGATGGTAAAAATAATCGCTTAGACGATGACAGTACCACTCTGTCCACAAATCCTGCAATTGAACGACGTTATAAAGATGTATTCATAGCATATGCCACTATTCCTGGTAAATCATAATCATCCTAAAGAACTATTGAAATACTAATATAATGATTAATTTTAATAGTTTACCCTCTTTTAACAGATTATTAAATATCATAATTTTTTTTATTTAGGGCATACTGCCAAACGTGATCCGATAGAGGGGACGTGGTTTGTACAACACTTGTGTGAAGTAATTCGTAAAAATGCCTATAACACCGAATTGAATGAAATGATGTTAATGGTAAATATTAAATAATAATTTTTAACCATTATTTTATCGTAACAAAACTAACGTTTATTTCATATATTAACCACCTATTATAGGTGGACAAAGAAATAGAAACTCTGAACAGCGTCCTTCACGGATTTCAAACTGTAGAATGGGTTTTTAGAGGTTTCAACAAATGGTTTTTCTTTAATCCGGGTCTCTATCGAGATAATTCAAATTCTGACATTGTAATGACTACTTCAACCGATCCTAATACTGATGTTTAAAGCTGAATATCATTTTTTCTAAATTAAAATTTACTATTTATATTAGTTAATGTTAAGACTGAACATTTTTTTATATTTTTATACATATTTTTTTTTTAAATTTAAAGTACAACTGGATATAAGTTAAGTAAAAGGTTTTTACTATGCATTTTTAACCTTAATATATTTTGTATTTCCCATATTCATAAAAAATAAATTATACTATAATAAATGTGTATTTTTTTTTTATTATTTTAAAGAAAATTGTATTAAGGGTTGAGTCTTTACATATTTATTGCGCCGTAAGTAGTTCAACCATCCACCTACCATACACATTTACACGAGAACAGCAAGTGGTGGTTATAGTAAAAAATAATGAGTAAATGAAATATAATTAGTAATCTGAGTGTCTTCAAAACAAAGGGTTGATTATAAAATATAAGCTATCCATACAAAATGGACTATATCATAATCAACTAGTTGACATTTTGTGTATAGAAGAAGCCCTTGCTGTACAATTTGAGATCCCGTGGAATGGCTATTTAGAAAACACTGAGTTCACCCAATGAATAATGCTTTTAATTTTCTTATAATATAATACTATTTCTGAAAAAATTATCATCTATTACTGATGTCGATCAAATATTTTGATGAGTTACTGGGAAAAGTCCATGACCATACATAAAATAAAACATACTGCAGTGGAATCCTTTGAATACAGAGAAAGGATCAACCATAACTATCGGGTAAATTTGTTTTATAAATTTAATGCATAATATATTCATTAATCAAAACAATTATTTAAATAGATTATTCTAAAAATAAAAATAATATAGGAATAGGTATATTGTTTTTAGCATGCTTTCAGTATAATAAATAAATATAAGAAAATCTTAAAACAAAAAAAGTCTATAAGATTTTAATAAATAATCCTTTCTTATACACCATATTATATACATCGGACCTGCCTACATCTGAAAATACTTTAGTTGGAACTTATGCTGACGATACTACTCTTTTATCAGTTTCTTATGACCATACCACTGCATCTCATCAACTACAAACTCACCTAAATTATCTCTCACAGTGGTTCCCCAACTGGAAAATAAAAATCAATGAATCCAAGTCCTCTTTTGTGACCTGGTCACTCAGACCTCTAAATTACCCAGCTGTAACAATCAACAACATCATCATTCCTCACTCAACAGAAGTAAAATATCTTGGTCTTATATTTGACAGACGCCTTACCTGGTCCTCTCTTCTTAAAGACAACCGTAAGAAACTTAACTCCAGACTTCACCTTCTAAGACCACTGCTTTGTTCAAATCTTACCTTACCTATAAAAATCATTCTCTATAAATCTCTTCTTCAACCAATGTGGACATACGGTATTGTAATCTGGGGTTCCGCTAAGAACTCGAACAAGAGAACTATACAAGCTTTTCAAAACATCACTCTTCGTTTAATCACTGGTGGCTGGTGCACCCTGGTTCATTTCAAACAAGACCCTAAACTCCGACCTCAAATTATACTCCATCGACAATACAGCTGCTATCTACTACAAACGCTCAAACGCTTCCACGCCAAACTTCAAGATACTCCTAACCAACTAATCAATGAGTTAGCTTCACTATCACTTCCAGGCAACCCAATCAGACGCCTCAAGAGGAAATGGTGCCGTGATTTGATAACTTAAATTAAAACTTAAATGTAAGAGGTGTTACAAATGTGTGATTTCCTCCTCATGTGAATAACATTGTCAACTGTTTATAAATTATTAATATTACTTATTGTACATACTGTATAGATTGTAATTTTTCAAATAAAGCCAATTATTTTTCAAAAAAAAAAAAGATTTTAATAAAATCAAAAATTTAATATATTGAGATTTATGGTATTGTTAAAATGTTAAATGAGAATAAAACAAACATCTTGATCTAGTATAAATGGTATACTTAAAAACAATAAAATGTATTGTTATTCGTCAAAATAATTACTGTATTAGGACATAATATTGTATTACAAACATTTAATAACTTATTATAATTATTTTGGTATGAACAAGTTAACTGAATTATTATAAAACTTTTATGAAAAAAGATACAATGTTTGTGTGAGCGCAGGAGAGGAATATTAATGAATTGCAAGAGAATTAAAAGAAATAGAATCTAAAGATGGATGAAGTTGTACATAAATATTATTTGACTCGTAGATTTTTAAAATATTGTAGAACATAATATTATAGGTAATAGGAAATCTTATTGTGTAGTATTTATATTTTTACAGACGGTAATAAAAGAAGAATTATTTTTGAATTTAATTATTTTTCTCATTTTTTTCTATTATGGTTTGGTGAAGATGAATGTTTAAGAATTGCAACTTGCACTTGCAGATGTATATACAACATTATTAATACAACTATTATTACAAAAAAGTTGTAGCATACATCTATTTCCTCTTCAACTATTTTACTAGTTGTCCTAAAAATAACAACATGTCTTTTTATTATATACAAAATATAATAACTAAAGGGAAAAAGTTATATTCAAACTTCCTTAATATTCCTGATCCCACAAGTTTACTTAATTCTCAAAGTTTGCCATAACCTTATATTTCTTTTGGTGATAAGGCATTTATCCTTCACATAAATCTGTTGAGGCCATACTAACAATGCGGACTTAATGACACTCATGAAAATTTTAACTATCGTCTGTTCAACGCCCAAAATTAGACCCACCATAGAATGTACTTTTGATGTACTTACCAGCAAATGGATAATATTAAATTATTAAATACCACTTTTTTGATAGGTCCCAAATTTGTTGACGATATAATAATATCATGTTGTCTTACAGAATTTTGGATAATATGGAAAGTGAATGACTAAATGACATTGAGAAAAGAAGAACGGATTCTCGGTTACATTATGTTAGGATGGAATTGAAAGATGAGTTACATATACAGAAAATTTTGAACATTTCTGAACCATTTTAGAATCGTGTACTTTAATGTAGTACTATAATGCATATATTTATGCACAGTAAATAGGTAAAAAAAAAAAAATTAAAATTCAACTAAGTTAATCTGAAGTGTCACTGTTTTCTTCTTTATTTTTTTTTTGTTTCTTAGAAAGCTTTTCTTTTTTTGATATCAACCTTTGTTCTCTCATCATAATTTTGTCCATTCTATCCAAACGTCTAAAACAAAAACAAAATATGTTAAATAATATTAAAGTATTTTTTATTTTGATAAAGTTAAATTAATTTACTTGAGTAATTTCATTTTTTTCTTTCTACTTAATGTTCTAACATACATAAAGAGCTCTGTATCGCTATCCTCATTGTTCTGAAAATAATAATAAATTATCAATAATTTTAAGCTAATGTATAAAGATTGAAATACTAATATTCAGGATTTTTTAATGTTATATAAAAGAAAAGCAATATTATATTAGTTTATACTGATAATATTAATATATGAGAATAACAAAGATGGGTTGATAAAACAACAGTAGTTTATCTAAATAAAAAATTACCACAAAAATCACATATATAAAAATTTGAATCAAGAACATTTTGAAAACTCATTAGTAATTATTTCTTAGTATTTTTAATTAAATTGTATAAATTATAAAATTAAAAAATAACATAATACCAAATTAAAATCAATATGATAACTTACATTAAATGATATTTGTTGTTGGGTAGAAGCAGCACTTTTTTTCAATTCCAAACCATCTTCTCGCATTTGTTTTATTAATTCTTGTGTTTTTTTATTGGCACTAGAACCATTTGTTGCATTACTTGTTACAGCTTCAGAAATGCTTGCTTGGTTGAATAAGGAGCATTCTTTGTCTACAAAATAATATTTTTTTAGTATATTGTATTTAGATTTTTTTTTATAAATTGTTTTTATACTTAATATTGACTAACTATGATTCAAATATCAATACAATATAATATGAATTGTATTCCAATTTATTTTGAAATATACTTACCAGTATTAATATGACCCCATTTGTGGCATTTTATACATCTAACATTCCTTACTTGAATACCAAATGGCTGGTCACGAATTTCTTGATCTCCTTTGCAATAACTATACAAAAAAACCATTTAAAATTAGTATGCATATGTAATTTTTAATTTTATTAAACAAAAAATAACAATTTCAAATATATGTTGATTGATTTAAACATATTATTGCTTAAGCATTTGAAAAGAGCGTTCTCAAAGATTCAAAGTTAGTTACTGTGAGTAGGTAGCAAAGGTAGTTACTAAGTTTAAAAAAACCAATTATGACCACAGGTGAAGACCATTGGTTTAAGTGAGAATTGTTTACCTAATACACAGAATAGGTTTACTATTTAAAAAATGAAACTCGGGCAATGCCAGGTGTACCGACCCGGCTACCCACATGTATATTATATCAGAAAGATAATAATGTACATTAGCAATAATATAGGTAATACGTTTATAATAAAATTTAATAAAACTAATAAAATACTTATATTTATTATGTAAATTTTCATCTGTACCAATACATAACACATAAAGGGTAATATACAAAATAAAAACAACTCATAATATTGTTATATGGAACATCCAACATTCTATTAATACGTACTGTTATTTTTTCAATTCAAAGACTAAATTTAATGTTATATGTTTTGTAAACAGACTTAGTATTTTTTTCTCTATAACTTTTAATTAGCCAGTGTTGAGGTACAGACAATTTACTGTTTTAACAATAATATATTAGTTACCTAATGGTAAACAAGAAATCTAAGTACTTACAGTATGTTTAATATTGTGAACAATTTTAGCATTTTATAGTAGGTACTTACTCTTCTCTGGGGGCATTAAATTTTCTTTGCCATTCAAATTTATATTCTGGCTCATTATCTTCACGTTCCCTTTCTTTTTTGGCACCCGGTGGTGGTTCATACATAAAATTTACACTCAACTTATCTTTGCTTTCTTTTGACAACAATGCCCTAGAAAATATAAATTTACAAAATAAATAAAGCATATCAAACAAAGTATAACATATTTGTTATTAAGTATTTTACTTGTTATTGTAAAGATCTTGTTCTTTTTCATATTGTAAACGTAGTTCTTCTTGACGTTTTTTATCCTTATCCGATTTTTGTTCGGCCATCCATACCTATAAATTATTAAAATAATTATAGATACAAATTATAACATTTAAGAGAACATCTCAGCCTCATGTTCTGTCTCCATCTTAAAAATAGATAACATAGGTACCTAGCAAATTTGATTTCAGTAGTTCTAATTTTATGTAATTAACTTTAACATTAGAGTGAATTAACCTAATATCAATCAAAAAGGTAAGAACATTATTCATGTTTTATTGTTAATTGTTTACAATATTAAATAGCATTTTTTAAATTTTAATATTGGGTATACATAACTCCTCTTCAAACTGGATTTTTATAGTTCTAATAAAAGTGTGTAATTTATCAATATTAGTTTAATATCAAGACGTTTAAAGTGTAATGATAATATAAAAAATACTTCATTAAATTTTAGTTTTTTAACTCATTATAAAAATAATTAGTTAAAAAACTAATAAATTATTAAGTTTTGTTGCACTTTTATCGGATATGTTATATGTTGTGTTCTGAAGAAAAACTTACTCGTTTTAAATTATCTCTTGACGCTGGATGAAAGAACTTTTTACACATGTAATTATTGAAACCTTTCCCCATTTTAGACTATTGACTATTAATCTTTTTTCTATGAAGATGAATTAATAATGTATTAAATATTAAATAATGATTCTTGTTTGGGATTAAGCATTATTTTGATAACAATATTTATATCACGGACTAAGATATACAGGACTGGACACGAGATGAATATTGTGGTTACGAAATGTTTTACAACAGGCGGAGTTCGGGGGGATATTTTCCTTTTAGCATTACTAGCGCCGTCTTAGTGGATACTTATGGAACTAGAAATTTGTATGATGTGTTCTAGTTCCATAAGTATCCACTAGGACGGCGCTAGTAATGCTAAAAGGAAAATATCCCCCCGAACACTGCCTGTTGTAAAACATTTCGTAGTCAACCCCCCCACACCCTCCAACCTTGTCATGTCCAGTCCTGTATATCTTAGTCCGTGATTTATATACAAAACCTAAACAATTAGAGTGGGGCTGTTTATCAACCATTGATAAAAACATTATAACCCCAGTTGAACCACAGTCATCGAGGTATATAAACTATACTGGAGCGCGCACTCGTTATCAAAAAACGAGCCGACGCGTTCGAATGATTCCCCCACCACTGCAGGGCAAAAGATTACCACACGCCGGCCACTACGTAGTATGACAGTATGTTCTCATGGCTCTGAACTCTTGGTTAATTGTTTGTGCTGTTTTTTTGTCTTTAACCTTATTTTTCTATTAATATTAAAATTCGTCAAAAACATTCTAATATATTATATGAACAAAAATGGTTATTTCGTTAATAATCGTAATACAGTAAAGTTAATTGAATATACTAATGAAATACTTGATTATATTGCTGGATATATTGTAAAAAATATTTGCAAAAAAGTTGTGTGTCCTTACTGAATTGATATATTAGTAAAAAGTGATCTAACAGATCATAGCTATGTAAAATATGCAAATTTTACATCTTTTGTAAATCGGGGGAAATTGAAAATAGTTTCATCAGGTGTATCACTTATATTATTCAAGAGCTTGAAAACTCTTTTCAAGCTGTTGTTGTTATAAATAAAAAATTACATAACAATGTGAAACAAAACATTGTAATGTTAGCAAAAAAAAATATATTGAACAAAAGTACTCTACTTTTTTTTCCCAAATTCACATCCTTTTACTGTTGATATTGGTTCCCCAAGTCATGAGTATAGCCTCTTTACTGCACTTAAGTCAATGTTTTGTTAATATAAGAATGCGTCATTATGCCAAAGACATAAACTCTAAACAAGTATTTAAAAATAAATCATCATTAAGGCAGAAATTAACAAAATTAATTTTATTTAACAATATTTAAACTGTTAAAACTACTCATTGAGTGTATTTGATTTGTTTTTATACTTTTATTTATAATTTGAATGTAATTTATTTTAGTATGATATTATGTAAATGAATGTTAAATTATATGTTATTATAATATTTTTAAAGGAAATAATAAATATTTTCATTAGTATTTTTAATTTTATATTGTATGTGTAGTAATGATAAGTATTGTATTTCTCAAATATATATTAGAGTATACTATACTAAGGGCTAATACTTTTAATGTTTTGCTATTAAAAAAATTAAATGATATTAAATTATTTTTATTGATTCCTAATTTAATAATTTTTGAAAAATTAATGTATTATACACTTAAAGGTAGTAGGTACGTCGTACTATTATACGGTACATGGCATTAAAGTTGCCCTGCAGTGGTGGGGGAAACGATCGAACGCGTCGGCTCGTTTTTCATTACACGGACGGTATACGCAGTGCGCGCTCCAGTATAGTTTATATACCTCCATGACCACAGTATATTAACCATATTAATATGTATATTAAAATGTATGATTTATTATTTTGCAGTTGGGAACAATGTTTGATTTCTTTTCAAATTGGTAATTTAATTTAATTTGGATTTTTGAACGTTGGAATTAGTTGTATTTTGATATCGAAATTCTTCATAAATCTAAATAAATGAACTTAAATCTATGAAGACCATTATATCATATAATGGTCTTCATAGATTTAATATATAATTAATATGTATCTAGTCTTCATGCTGATATTGTATTTGGGTTCAATCTTATATATTTAATAATGTAATCTATTATAATTTATAGGTAGGTAATACATATTAATATATTATAATATATTAAGTTCGCTAGTTGTAAATTTATAAAACGTCACATATACACATTGAACAATATAATATTATTATCTATAAATCTTAAATCGTGATTTAGAATTTTCCAGTTGCAACTTGGAAACAGTCTTCTTATTTATTTGATCTGTATCATTAAGCATAATGCATGAAGATTTTCATGTAATATCAGGTTTGGCCGGGGGGGGGGCTACAGCCCCCCAACAACATTTTAGTCCTAGTTGCGCCACTGATTATAACAATTAACAACAATACTATAAGGTGTAACTTGTAAGGAAACAACACAACAAAAATAAAATTGATTAAAATAACAATTATTCTTGCGAAGCGAAACGATAAGAAAATTCAATGCGTATTCACTAATAACCACGATTAATTCTCTGGCTACGGCACTGGATGAGTGAATAATTAAATTATTATTGAATGGAATAATCCAATAATGATTCTTGTTTGTGATTAAGCATTTTAGCAGTGGCGGATGCGAAGGGAGGGGGGGCGAAGGGGCGTTCGTACTTAACGTTATTTTAAATTTTAATATTTGGCTAAACAAAAAGACAATTTAATTTTTTTAATTCGCCACCCTCCTTGGGTGACTTCTGGATCAGCTACTACTGACTAGACACTGTCTATATAGTTACCTACTAAACGTATAAACTACTCTTTCGGATTAAGTATTATTTTGATAACAATATTTATGTACAAAAGACAAAAGTACAAAACCCACAGGTATATATATTTAAATACTACTATAATATAGGACAAAAGAAAACATTTTCAATGTATTTTCATTACATACGATTTAATTCTATTCAATTTATTTTTAATTTATTTATATCATACGTGCTAAAATATATAATTGAAAGTTTTCAAAATAACTGCGATGGCCAAAATAAATTTATGTATTTCACTGAACTTATTTAATTATAACATTATAGTTGAGATAATTTTTTTACACATCACTTGGCATTTTATGGCTTACCATTGTTTTTGGGTAAAATAATTACTAATTTTAAATATTAAAATGTATTATAACATTAAGTAAAAATAAACGTATTATAAAAAGGCAGGTTTAACACGTCTCTGTAGTCGGATTAACTATCTATTTACATTTTTTAAGCTAAATTTAGTTATATTTTTACATATATTATATAAGTGCAGCTATAAACTATCGTATAAAATAAACATTATGATAATATAAATGTAATTAGGATATTACATTTAATTTGTATATTTAGGTACAATAAAACTAAAAACAATTGTATACTTCGTTTAAAATTATTTTCTTTATAATATAATTGAAATTCATAAGTTTTGCATTATGAAGGATTTTATTATTTTCAGAAGTTTATCGTAAAATAGAGTTAAAAGGAATTTACTGAATTAAATTAATTTTACTGTAAAATATTAAGACTGCTTAAACATTTATAATAATATACAAACAAATACTTGTAATTCTAAAATCCAGGATTTAAGCGTCGTTCTCGAGTCTAGCGAACTTTTTAATACCTTTATTTTTAAATTATCTATATTAAATCTATACAGGCATACAGCCATATAGGTGGGATTATCTTATGTTGGAAAGAAAATCCATGCCAAAAAAGGTGGGTAAGTGGATGTCGCTCTGCTGTACTGTAGGTTACAAGTGGGTCACTGTATAATGGATGGTATTAAATTTGAATGCAATGATATAATATCATTGTATAAGAAAAACGATTCTGAGCGGAGACGGTATGTCAGTCTAGGTATAAGACATATTATATACTTTTCTATGGTATTAAAATATATGGAATTTATGAATAAATTTCTTAAAATATGCATAGTCTTATCATGAGCATAATTCTTATTCCTTATACTATGGTAGATTGTATGGATAGGCCATAATATTTTGATTTTTCAGTTTCATATATCCCCGAATAATATTTTTAAATTACAACAAAAACAAAGATCGTTAATATTGATTTTAATATGTAATTTCGACCAAATTTGAATTTAAAATGTCTGTAAAAAATAACTGTGTTCATATATTTTTTAGATTTTTTGGTTACAGAATGAACTATTTATGAGAACCTTTGTTTTAAATTTGCAATCTTTAGCTATAAAAACTGAACATTTTATAGTTTATTAATTACAATGATTGATAATTTTCGAGATTTTGATAAATTTTGTCAAAATTCGATGTTTAAATGCTTATAAAAAAAAATTGTGCCTATGTATTTTTAATATTTTTCAATTGTTACTGAAACAATATATCAGGAACCTTGTATTAAATGTTTACAGTTTATGGCCCAACAGATAAAACTTTATTGATATTTATAGAAAAAAAAAACTAAAAAAATTGAAAACTGAAAATGTCCGTAAACAGCTCAAAAAGAGTCGAAATATTTTCAAAATTGTACAGTGTATAGGAATTGCTAATCTGAACATTCAGTGAAATTATCATGTATCTATAGTTATTCGTTTTTGAATTACAACAAAATAAGAAAATTGGTACATGAGAAATCAAGTGAATATCCAATGTTGTAAAAATTTGAATTTCAAACGCTCATAGAAATTTAATGTGACTTTCCGGTAGAGATTTTTTCATTGATAAAGGTAGACAATCTTATGAGTAATCTTGTATTAGATTTAAAAAAAAAAATTTAATTCTTAACTCAACATAATTTGCTAATTTTCGTGATTTTTCCATATTTTGTCAATTTTTGAACTTTAAATGCTTATAAAAAAAAACTGTGACAAACGATTTTTAATATTTTTCATCTGCCTTTGAAACAATATACTAGCAGCCTTCTATTAAATTTTCAAGTTTTTTTAACCTACAAATAAAATTTTATTGATATTTCTAGAAAAAAAACTAAAAAAAAATGGAAAATGAAAATGTCCCTAAACAGTTAAAAATAAATCAAAATATTTTGAAAATGTTATCGTGTATAGAAAATGCAAATATAAACAACCAGTGAAAATTGCATGTATCTACGGTCATTTTTTTTAAAGTAACACCAAAAACCAAATTCAATTTTCTGAAAAATCGATTTTGCGTAAACATTCCCGTTTTTCCTTAATTTTTCTTTTGTTTTTCTTGGCGCTTTTGAAAAGTACTGGGAATTTTAAATTTTGACCTCCCCAATGCACCAACGATATTCACTTTCCAATCGAACAAGATACTGAAGTCGAAAATCGAAGCATTATTTCGACTACTTATCGTGTACACAGACACAAATAAAAATTTTAAAAAAAATTTAAAAACACACATCATTGTAAAATCAATACATTCATCGTTCCACTCAGAATCTAAAATGAATACAAAACATAATATTATCAAGTTACTAAAAATTCAGGGCACGCAGGGACGTACACAGGGGGGTGTTTTGAGTGTTCAAACACCCCCTGAAATATTTGTTTTTTTGTATGGTTATTTATTTATTCAATTTCAATATTAATTTTTATATTATACTTTAATAGACAGGTATAAAATTACATTGTTTTTGTGAAAAACCGACTAAAGCAAAATAAACTATAATACTAACAAATTTATAAATAAAATAAAATTATACCAATTGTGTATTGACGTGGATATAAAAGAATTCTAAAATGTGTACAGACATGGGAAATACCTATACCTATACATGACGGAACAATTACTGCGAATTGGAGTGTTATAATTTATAAATAATGACGTTTCTGTTCGCTTGCGTTCGTTCGTGTTCGGGCTCTATAAACGCACCTTTATATTTTGTTATCGACACTATCGTTAATGTTTTGGTTTTGTATCTGAAACGAGGCACGAAAAGTGACAATATTATACTGTTTTATTACTTACCTCTCAAGTTGGTCAGTTGGTGTATAATATTATACTAATATAAAGTATGGAATCGTCAAAGAAAAGAAACACTTTACTTTCTACTTTCTCAACAAATAAAAATCTCGAACTGAGAATAATGAGGAGCGTAATAGTTTTTATTTTTTTGTTTATTAATATTTTAACTTGTTTTCTAATGTTGATTGTTGCGCTATTTAGGCACCAGCAGAAATAGAAATTGAATATTTATCGACATCAAAATCTATAGTAGAAGACAGTCAACTTACTTAACTTAGTCAAGCACTTACTATACTCTTTTTCACGAGAGAAAGGTACCGGCGGCCGACCAAAACGGATCCCGCTTCCCGGATCAATTAAGCTCAAGATTTCTTGACCATAGTACACTACTTTTAAAAATACAGAATATTTTGCCGTCGAAATGTATAACGTTGGATACAGATTGAATTAAAGAAACAGCACACACTTTAATAACAGAATGGCCAAATGAGATACTTGGAACATCAGAGGACTTAATAGCCGAGATATTTATGTGACGAAGGTGAGCTCTAACTTAATTATTCGAGTTTTGCATGCTAATTTATCTCGCTAATATCAGTAATATCACATTTATATATGTTACTGGCATTATTTGGGCATGCCAAATGAAAATCGACCAGTATGCTTTATCGAAGCTCTAAACCAATGCGATTCAACACTGTACCAATCAGTTCATCGATTTTGCGTATTGGTGCTACGCTCCCGGCATCCGTAGCTACAAGTGAACGCTCGTTTTCTTCCCTTCGTAGATTGAAAACGTATTTACGTAACAAAACAGGCGAAGAAAGATTAAATGGATTAACATTGTTAAATGTACATAGAGACATTGAAGTTAATTGTGAAGATATTCTTAACATTATGGCTAAAGCCTAAAACTTCAAGAAAATATTAGTATTGTAATTTATTGTAATTTTTTTGTTTATATTTTAAAAAAGTATTTTAAGTATAGCTAATTTTCCTAAAAAAATTTCGTATGTTTATTAAAAAAAAGTTCTACTTTTCAGCAACTGATTTTCAAAAACACCCCCCGAAACTTTCTTCTGCATTCGTCCCTGGGGGCACGGATTTATTAATTTACTTTGAGTGAAACTTACATCCAAAAATTCAGCAAGCGTAACATAGGTAGAGACAATGGCGTCCGCAGGGGGGAGGCTAACGGGCTGAAGCCCCCCCATTGCCCGTATTATTATTACTTTTTCAAAAAAATATTAATTAAGTTTAAACTGTCAACTATAGTAATCCTCATATATGTCTTACCAGAATGAATTCATTTTTGAAAAAACATTGAATTTGCATACCAATTTTCATAAATTATCTGTAATTTTTCGGCAAAAGTATGAACTACTTGTATAAAAGACCTTGTATTAAATTGTCTAGCCTTAGATATACATATTTTATATTTTATGAGTTTTGAACTACAAATTAACCGTGGTTTTGACGAATTTTGAACTTTAAATGCTTATAAAAAATAACCATGATGCCTATGTATTGTTAATATTTTAGCTATAATAAAAAAACTTACGTATTAATGTATTATACATTTTTAAGCTTTTTGACCGGATAAATAATTTTTTATTGACATTTATAGAAAAAAAATTGAATTAATCAAATACAATCCAAGTTAAGACGGTATAACGAAGTTTGTTACCAAAAAATTTAAATAAATTTTCATTTTTTTTCTCCAATTATTTTTAAAAGCACTAAGAATTTTCAATTTTGACCTCCTAAAAGTACTAACTAGATTCAATTTGCTTCCAAAAACATTCACTGGGCATCAAAGCTTATGATCAGAGCAATTTTTCTACCAGAAGAGCTGAAAAGTTACAAACATTTTAAAATACCCCAAATAAACGTCCGTAATTATTAGACTGGACAAAATAAAAATTAGATTGTAACTAATTTTCAAGCCCCCCCCCCCCCATTGAAAAATCCTGCGGACGCCACTGGGTAGAGACAACTTGTATTACCTTTATACGAGTAAGATTAGTTACAAAATAGGTAATTAATTTTGAGATTCAGACTTTAATTTTTTATGTTAAATATTTAAGATTCTAATTATTCATTATTTATTTGACGTTGCATTACTTAATTCATAATACATCAAAGCCCGAACATTAAGAATTAACATAACAGAAAGTAGACGCAAACAGAGTTTATCGAAACTTAACGGTTGAAAGGACATTTTCTCCCCGACCATTATTGTTATTGTTAGTAAGTAGTAACAATAAGATATATTTTCTACCCGATGTGGGTCATTTTCTCTTACTTATTGTTATAAATCCTAGATTCACCTAGTGATCAGGCTCTGTTAGTAAATACTAAATGGTAACATATTATGTTATTTCAGATAGCTAATAACTAATAGGTAAGTAATAAGTAATATTTTAAGTAAAATTGTACCCTGAGACTAGACTACCAGAGTATAGTTTACGGGCCCCCACACGAACATGTTCAGTGGGGCCCATTATCTTCTTGAAGAATAAATAAAAATAAATAAATAAATACCAATTACTAGGCAGTTAGCGTTGAATATATTATATTGAGGGATTATATGTTAAAGCCAACTGTGCCAATGTGTATTAAATAGGTACATTTTTTCTTGTAGTATAATATATTATTTAGTTTAAGTTTATAATGGATAAAATAAATACTATGGAGACATCGTGTAGTTGTTGGATACTCTTGTTTTCAGTGTTAGCAATAATTTAAAATAATAAAAAAAATATGCGACTACCTCCTACACCATTATAAGATACCCTTCTCCTTTTTAAACTAATTAGACGAATCCAATATTTAAAAACATTTTAAAAAAGGTTTAAAATGAGTGTTTTATAAATTATTTATTTATTATATTTTAAATTTATGACATGTTTGATAAAAATCGAATTATGTTTGGCATTGCGTATACAAAAAAGTGTAGTAGCGTGGGTTTTAAAATTAGAATCTGTTGATTTTAGGGTTCCGTACGTTTCCCTACGGATAAGCCTATTACTTTCGCTCAGCTGTCCGTCCGTCCGTCCGTCTGTCGCCAGGCTGTATCTCATGAACCATGAAAGTTAGAAAGTTGAAATTTTCACAGATTATGTATTTCCGTGGATCCTATAACAACAAATACTAAAAAAAAGGGATAGGAGCAACCCCGGGGGGGTGCTAAAACGGGAATTTTAAGATTTCAGATGGAAATTTTTGTTTATAAATAGTTACCACGAGTGACGTCGTATTGTTAATAAATGGTTGCCACGAGTGACGTCTCATACAAAGATTCGTTTTATAAATTTCAATACAGAATTATAGTGAATCGTTTTAACTTTTAAGTTACAAAATTATACAGTCCACTGTTATTTACCCTGGCCTGAATTTTTTTCCCACCCCGCAAATGACAACAGACATTAGATACCTAATGGTACGGACCCTTTGTGCGCGAGTCCGACTCGCACTTGGTCGGCTTTTTTATATTTAATTATACTGTGATGATATTTTGTGTTATATGCGTATTTTTCAATATGTTAGCAAACAAGCATAGGTATATAAATACTAAAATACCTAACAACTAGTCTTTATATATATAATTCTACTGTACGTGTGTTTGTAAGCGAACTCCTCCTAAACGTCTGGACCGATTTTGATGAAATTTTTTGTGTGTGCTTTAGTGGGCCCTAGAATGTTTTAGATTCACAATCGGACCCGGTAGACCCATTCCGTGGAGGTGCTCAAACGGTAATGTTGAGATTTATGGTGGATATTTTTGTTTATAAATATTTGCCAATTTGCCATGGGTTTTAAAGCTATTATAATAATAAATATTGGTTGCCGTGAAATCATAAGTAATTAGAAATAATTTATAAACAACGTTAATATAATTAAAACCAACGAAAGTTTTTAATTTTTTTCGGGTCAGCTAGTATATTATAATATATTTTTATCTAGTATTCCATGATCGTTGAACACGAAATATAAACTAATAGGTATTCAAATAATATATAGAAACTGAATAGTTTTCAATTATTTATAAATAAAATAATCTTTTTAATCGTGTGATGTTTTTACTTTTTTGTTACAAATTTAGTTATTTTGTATTAACAGTGATGAAGAATTTAAAACATATATTGTACACATGTAGTGGCATATGCCATGCCTCCCTCCCCCAGGCCACCCTGATTCCCCTTAATCCGTGCTTGAATTTGAAAATGTCATTGTGAGTATAAAATATAATAATATGCTTTAAAAGTTTCAAGTTGCCTCAAATAATATTTTTGAATTAGGTATAACAAAATAACTAAAATCATTATTTTTCGTTTAAATATCTAATTTCATCCAAATTTGAACTTAAAATGCCCATAAAAAAACTGTGTTTAAATATTTGTTAGTTTTTTTGGTTACGATATTAAATATTTATGATAAGCCTTGTTTTAAATTTTCAATACTTACCTATGAAAATTGAACATTATATACATTTTTAATTACGTACTGATTTGCAGATTTCAATGAATATTTTCATAATTTAAACTTTAAATAACTTTAAATAACTCATAAAAAAAATATCGTACCAAATCATTAATATTTCTTAATTACTATTATAATAACTTATGAGGAGGAACCTTGTAAACATATAATTTTCAAGTATTCCAAGCAAAAGAAAAAATTATTATAATTTTAAATTTTAAATGTTCATAAATTGATCAAAACGAGTCGAAATATTTTGAAAAATTTATCATACACCGAAAAATATAAAATGCTACCTAATTAGAGATATACAGTGAAAGTTGCATGTATCTACGGTTAATTTTTTTAAGTGTTACACGAAAAACCAAAATTGATTTTTGAAAACCAATTTGCATACAAATTATTCCCGTTTTTCCTAAATTTGTTTTTTGTTTTTCACTAATTTTTTTAATTTGAATACACCAACTAGATTCACTTCCCTACCAGAAAAGTTATTGAGGTTGAAAATTGAAGCATTATTTCGTACACATTATCGCGTACACAGACACAAAAAAAAATACACACATCATTGTAAAATCAATACATTCATCGCTCCTCTGCAGAATCTAAAACACGTACCTATTACATAAACTTGGAATTTGGACTAAAATAAATATGTACTAAACCAAAAATGAATGCAAAGAGTTAGTTAAGTTCCTACTCAAAACTAATTAACTAACCGTTAAAAATTCGGTTCGAATAATGTATCGAAGCATACCGAAAAATGTTTTATATACTTTTCAAAATTAATGTTGTTTTTCAATGACATAAAATAATGTAAAAAAATATTTTTAATAAAATTAAGACTTTTCTAAATAATGAGTGTATAAACACATAAATATATCACCTTGTATACTTTGTTTGTAATACAATTATCCATTTAAATAGTTTTCATATACCCGATTGTTAGCTATCCCTCGGAGGTATGTGAGATAACTAGATAAGGAGGAATCAGGGGATGATAAAATATATTTTCTCTCAAAGAAACGTTCAAAATATCCTACCGAGTATATAAAAACTAGAAATAAATAATATATCATACAATACTGCGATAGAATCTAATTTTCCAGCCAAAACAATTTATTGTCAACATTAATAAATTATTTGTTATATTATTATTATTATTATTATTATTACATTATTTATCCTTATTCGATTCGAGTTATTTACAAACGCCGCCAAACGGGATGCCGATCTATTGATGGTAAAAAAGTACTAAAGCCCTTTGGGACCGATCAGTGTTTCGGAACTTTCAAGTTTCAACCACAAAGATATAAATAAAGATATATATTATATATATAGGGTGATTCGCCACGCATGCTCATCCCATTTTTTCCTTTAATAATACATTTATTCAGATTCTGATTTTTTGAATTTTTAAATAAACTGAA